AGACAACCCATGTTTCCCGACCTACTGGACGAAAGCATCACGGCAAACATGTCGTTGAGGGATGCATTGGGTGTTGAAGGAGAAGTCAGGAGAGCTGCAGAGATGAGGACAATGGCAAGAGCAGTTTTTCTCAGACAGGACGTACAAGAGAAGCTCAGGCGAGCTTTGAAGAGATGGCCAAGAGGAGAGGAAAGAGCCTTCAACCCGGGCGAAATGATTTACTTCTACTCACCTCAACCAAAGACAGCAAGGTTCAGAAAAGATGGTGGCTCATGGAGAGGGCCGGCAGTGGTTCTCATGAGGGAGTCAGCTCAACGCTATTTCGTGAGCTGGCGAGGCAGATGTCTCTTGGTCTCAGCGCCCAATATGAGATCAGCATCCAGTTTGGAAGCAGGAAACTTCGAAGGAAGGGTCCAGGAGCTAGATGAGCTAGAAGACAGAATGGATGGAGAAGAGAAAACTTATGAAGACATCAGCCATGAGAGAGGCCAAGAGCAACAGAAGATAGAAGCCATGGGTTGGAAGGCCCATGATGGAGCGATATCTCCTCATGGCATGAGGAGCAAGGAGAAGGCAAAGGAAATCGCTCGATCCCTGAGAGGGATGAAGACCATCAAAACCGTCTTGAAGGAGAAGATAAAGAAGACGGACAAGAACAGAAAGAAGAAAGAAGAGCCACGAAAGAAGAAGACAGCAGATAGCAAAGAGGAGATACAACAACAGCACCAGCAACCTGACCAGAGTCAGGGTTCACAGACCAGCAAGCCAGACACAGGCGGACAAGAGAGGACTGCCTCCACAGAAGAGATCATGAGAAAGAAAGAGCAAGAGGAGACATACAAGAAGGTGGATGAAGAGCTCTTGAACGCACTGAAAGGGCCCACCGAAGACTTCAAGGAGAGATTAAGAAAACATCTGCAAGATGATGTCCCTCAACAGATGAAGAGGCCATTGGAAACTATTCCAGGTCTTGAAGAAGAAGGAATTCGGAAAAGATTCCGAGCAGGCATGTTCAATTACACCATGCTGAGTGTTTCAGGAAGGAGAGCACGTGCCAACGCATGGTTAAAGAAGAGCGAAGTGAGAAAACTATCGCAACTTTTGGACTTGCCGATCGTCAGTGCAAGATCTCACATGACACCCAGGAAGAGATTCGCCAAGCCTCCGAAGGGTAAGAAGAGAGGTAGAGTCACTGTCATGCTGGGTGAGGAGGTAGGACAGGCCACAGTCTGCTATGAGACCTCTGAAGAAGTCAGACAGAGACCAAACAGGAAAAGCCCCTATGAGTGGAAGGGCTTGACGCTCTTTGTCAGAGAGGAAATCAGCAAGAAAGGAGGCACTGCAACGGTAGAGATGCCGGATGGAGTGTATGAGGCTCAGGTGGAGGACATGAACGAGTGGAAGCAGCTGGTGGATGAGGAGTTGGAAAGGCAAGCATTTTTTGAGGCGTTCATCTTGCAGAATAAGATGAATGGAAAAGAGCTTGACCCACGTTTTTTTGATCAAGAAGAAAGAGAGAAGTTCAAGCAAAGTGATTTGAAGGAATGGAAGAGCTGGCTTCAGAACAAGGTGATCAAACGCCTGTCTCCGGAGGAGGCATCAAAGGTAGACAAGAAAAATGTGTTTCCAGCACCGGTGAGGATTGTGAGGGTGAACAAGGGAGCAATGCAGGGCACCTTTTTACCTAAAAGCAGAATAGTAATCCCAGGCCACCTAGATCCACATCTGGGTTCTTTTCGAAGTGATGCACCTACGGTTCCATGGGTGACAGTCCAGTTGGCAAAGATGGTGGGAGTCAACAAGGGATGGTGCTTTCTCATTTTTGATGTTTCTACGGCTTTTCTGTCTGGAAAGGAGGTGGAACGAGATCTGGTGATAAAGGCACCTATTGATGGACTTCCAGCATGCCCAGAGATGAATGAGCCAGCAGTCCGCCCTTTTGAACTCATGAGAGTTTGCAAGAGCGCATATGGATTGAGTGAGGCTCCAAGACTATGGTACTTGCGTGCACGAGAATTGCTCATTTCAATAGGTTTTGAGGAACTGCAGATGGCCAAAGCTACATTCATCATGAAACAGAAAGGCGATGTGATTGCCATCCTGTGTCTTCATGTAGATGATGGACTGCTAGTGATCAAGCCTTCTGCAGTGGAACGCGTGAAAAGAGCAATTGACAAGCATTTCAACATCAAAGAATGGCAACAGATCGGAGAGAAAGGGGTTACATTTTTAGGAGTCAAGACCTATGTCAAGCATGGCATCTACTATGACGACATGTCTGAGTATATCAATACCATACAGTATGCCGAGGTTGAAACACCCAATGATGAACCCCTCAAAGGCAGTCAGCTTTCAGCATATCGTCGATTGGCAATGCAACTGAGGTGGCCAGCTCATTTTGTGATGCCGGAATTCCTCTTCCGCACCAGCGAACTGGCCCAAAGAGTGAGCATGGCGACTGGCAACGACTTGAAGTATGCCAACAAGTTGCTCGAAGGCATGAAATCGGCAGCATTGCGAGGTGAAGCTCTGACCAAAATTCATCCATTGAAAGGTGATTTGATCTTTGTTTCATACTTTGATGCTTCACTAGGAACCTCAAAGACCAACAGAGCTCAGCAAGGGGAAATTCATTTTCTCACCACAAAATCAGTTTTTCGTGAACCGTCTGTGGCCAACATTGTGGAGTTCCACTCGAACAAAGTGCATCGAGTGGTTCGAAGCAGTCTTGCGGCAGAAGGATGCTCAATGACCAGTGCCGGCGATCGTCAGTTGTACAGTAGAGTCATTTTAGATGCGTTCATGTATGGTAAGACTGACATTAATTCAGGTTGGCGACGTGAACTTCAAACCCCTGGCTGCTTAGTCACTGATGCCAAGGGATTGCATGACCACATTTTGAAGACAGGCGGCATTGCTTCGGAAAAGCAAGCCGCCCTAGACATGTTGATGACCAAACAATTGGTAGAAGATAATGTGGTGCAAATTCGTTGGACGCCAACCTGGAAGCAGTTAGCTGATCCACTGACCAAAGATATGGTTACCACCCTCTTGGAACAGTTTCGACACAGTAGCAAATTGTGTCTTGTACAGACACCAGAGGATGAGAAAGAAGAAACTCGCAGAGCTGGAATCAGGAAAGCTCAACGCGAGCGTAGGAAGATGCGAATGAAGGCGACGGCAACGCTTTCTCCCCCTGATGTGATGAATCGGTGCACTTCCAAGCATATCTAAGGCTGTTGGTGGTGACTCTTGCCGTCGCTTGCATTTGGATCAATCTGCAGGCATCCGGATGCCAACTTAGCATGCGCAAAACGACTGCATCTGCATTTGCTGCTTTGTGTTCTATTTGCTGCGCCTTTGTTTACCCCCTGGGTTTTCTTTTGCTGGGAGTGGCGCCCCATTTTCGGATTAACAGTAGTTAGTAGTCCAGCACTTACATCAGGTTCGGTCACTATGCACCATGCTTATTCTGCACTTGCGTGACTCGAGAAGAGTGGGATGTATGAGCACTTTGCCGGTTGCGGTGGCATGGCAATTTGCGTTCCGCCAACTACAGCCTGCACACTCATTCGTTCTCAATCCGCATCAGTAGACAGTCAGTCTTCTGTCTGCAGAAAAAATGCCAAAGTTTACACAATGCAGATGTGGATAACGTGGGAATTTGCATCAGGGACCTGAGTTCCGACTGGCACTGGCAACGGCACCACACCAAAATGTGTTGCTGGTCGCATGCCCTTAGTGTCCAGCATCTTGGGGAATTTTACTTGACAGAATGCATTCTGCAAACCGCACACTCTTAGCGTGCCTGCTGGACATGAACAGCATTTGTGGCACCACAGCAGGACCCTGCATAGCTCATGCACGGCTCCGCCATGGCTCTGAAGACATTAGCAAGTTGTGCTTTTTAGCTTGAAACTTGATCAAGTTGTTGTCGAGTCAAATATGGGGGCAGAGGGTACAAAAACATCCACCAGTAGCTGTACGTTGCAACCGCAGAAAAAACTGTGACATAGCAGCATTCCAATCTCCTAGTTCAATCAGCTTGGATTCCAACAACCGGAAAGAATGAGAGTGTGGTGAGAGAAAGCCCCTATTCATGATGGAGAACGAGTCGCTGGTCTTGTCTGGGTTGTGGGCCCTGAGGTTGTTGTTTCTCCGGTGCCTCCCTTGAGATCAAATTCTTCATCATTCCCCAGAATACGCTGGCAAAAGCTGGCAAACCAAAAAAGACAGCACACTAAGTCGACACTAAGCCCACCATGGGCTGGTTCACTTCAAAATAGCATGTAATTTCATGTAATTTCATGTAATTTCATTCCTTGTCCAAGACGAGTAAAAAGAATCTTCCACCAAGCATGGGCCGCTGCACATCTGCAGGGGGATCTTCTCTTCCGGCTGTCGATCGATTTCAGAAAAAAATCTTTCGATGGGTGTTATCATGCCTGCATTTCTGTATCAGTGCTTGCAGTGCCTGACAAGTCGTGTTTATTTATCATACCTATGATTAAAAGGACATCATTCACAGTAAGACTCAAAGCCAGTCTCCACCAGCAATAGGTCTTTGCTGTTTCCGCTTCTGTTGGGAGTCTAAGTCGGATCTCCAAATTTTCATATACTTTCTATATTCGCTAATTCACGGGAATTCATTCTGTTCAGTTGTTCTCCAACACCCATGAACACTCATTGCATAAATTTCACAGGTCCCGCTGTTCCTGCAGCAAACAGGCAGCACTTCACTTTTGCCACGTGAAAAGTGTCTTGCTGCACTGCTTTGGTTGCAAGTTCGTCTGTCCTGGCAGCTTGAAAACCGGAGACTCATTGAAAAACGTTCTAAAATCTAAAACGTCCCTCACCTTTGGCCAAATTTACATCAGGTGGCAATTAATGGATGCCAGCGAAAACGATGAACATCAATATTCAATCAACTGAACATCAATCAACATCCCCACCACATGACTTGAGGCCAGATCAACAGGTCCTTCGAAACTATGCCAAAACTAGGCAAAGCTTTGCTCCATCTGCTCAAGTCTGTGCAGGTCTGTGAGCACTGCACGATGTGCATTTTCTTCGTTGGCTTTGGCGGTTGCCTCTAATTCCTTGTCTGCTTGCAACTTCAACACCATTTTCTGAAGCTCCCTCCTCGAGACTTGAAGCTTGGATGCCGTCTTTGGAGCTTCAACTCTGGGTTGATCCCCTGTAGATGCTGTGGATGCCGGTCGAATGGGAGCATCCTTTGTAGATGGTGCTGACGAAACGGAGTCTGATGCCTCGGCCATTTGACTCAAATGTCTCACCTCTGCAGTTGCAGCCTTCACTTTCTCGATGGCAGTAGAAGCTCGCGCAAGCTTCGACTTTAGCTGGTGGAGTTCAGCTCTATACTTCTCCTCTTCCTCTTTGAGTTCTTTTAGCCTGTCATTTCGAGCCTGCATTCTGGATAGCTGCTGAATCTTTGCCAAAGTGCTGTCATTTTGCACTGTCTCCCCCTCTCCAAGCTCTTTAAGCCCACTGTGTTTTGCTTTTTGCGCTTGCACTGCCTTGTCAGCAGCCAGCTTAATTTTTGCAATGAGTCGCTTTGCGGCAGAAACACGATCCTGAAGATCTCGGATGTGGGCTTGCTTCTCGGCAACTTGAAGAGCATCTCTTTTCTCAACATCCATAACTGAAGCGGCGACTTCAGTGGCTTCCTTTTTGATGTTGGCTGCTGCTACACTGATGGGCATATCAAAAGCGCCAGTATCAAAATTCTGGGATTCGACAAGATTCCCCGTTTCTACTTGTGCATGTGCCAATGAGGCTATACACAGCATCCATTGCAGGCGAGACGCCTGCCGTTTATTCATCCCGGCACCCCTCACTTGGCGCCCTCTACGTTGAAGCGGATCGCTGCAGAAACACATGGGCAAAGCATGGCAAAGCTAGGTATTGTATGGTATTGTGACCAGTCCAGAACAGCCCGGAAATGTAAACACAACGTTGATTGCAAAGCACTATAGCAATGAGCAACACTGTTTCGGAACCCACCTTTTACTTCAACTACAACGCGTTGAACTCTGCGGTAAGCTGGTGACAGGCGGACAGTCGCATCATGTCACTTTTCTAACTTCGACTAACTTCACAGCAGCCAGCTCAGAACAGCTAGTGTCGCAGCCTAGAGTGGAGCAGTTAGATGTTGAGATCTTCAATTCACTCCACGTCCATTTAAGGTTCAAGGCTTGCTCAAGGACAACAAAATTCAACGCATCAGTCAGCGTACTTGTGAGGCAAGCGATGCCGCGAAGCTTCTCTCCTCCTCCTCTGAGGTTTGAGCCTCGACGATTCTAGCCCCAGATTTTCAGGACTGCAGCATACTGCAGCTCCAAAAGAACAAACTTGTCATCTGGCTACCATCACACGTTCTTTTTACACGTGTTCCAGCAGCCACACCTCTTGGGCTGTTTTCCTTAGACGGGAGCAAATCCACGACAATTTTGAAACAGATACGAATTCGATCTGTGTGTCTGTGATCTGTGCAGATGATCTGTGCCAGGTCTCGCCAAACAGGCATCTTTATCAACAAGTTCCTGATGGCTTCGTGATTTTTTCGAAAAAAATACGGAAATTGTTTGATTCAGAAACACAGCCAGCGCAGTCCTTGCCCAGGCATGAATCACCAGACCATAGACATTTTGGGTTTTTGTTGCACGTATCCTCGCAGAAAAAGCCAGAACCAAAAGTTTCTGGTATACGGTACATATACGCATTCAACATGATAGGACCCTCAAGACATATTCACATGAAATACAAATCCAAATCCACAATCGGGCCTTGGTCTTCTCCAGGACACAGACTGCCTGGAAATCTGAAAACTGCAAAGCCACAAGTCATGACATCAGGCTTCCCTGTGAAAGCCTTCGCATAGGTGGCAGTAAACATATCCTCGTTGCCTCAGTGCTGACAGTGAAGCATTCGGATACAAAGATACAAAGCAGAACAGAACTGCCAACTTCTCTCTGCAACTGAAGATCCGCAAGTCTCATAGGAGTAGTAGATACTCTTTCCTTGCATAGTTCCATTGAGGTAGGTGGACACCTGCAGCCGTGAAGAAAAGCATTCAAATGTAAACAAAATGAGGAATAGAAATTGCAATAATAAGACGAGTTCGAACCTTGGGTGGTTGCGACACAGAACAAGAGCAAGGATCTACCTTAGCTCAAGCTGAGTCACTTGGTCCTACCAAGCAATGCAAGACCAAGCAGTGCAAGCACAGTTCTGATTGCATTTGAACAGGAGAGGAAGAGGCAATGCCCTGCGGGCATATGTGCAGGTAGCGCAAATACAACGCCGAACAGGCCAAACAAGCATGCTGAAGGTATCGAACAGAAGCAGGGATTGAGAATGCGACAAAGCACCATTTCCTCGGTGTTATTTGTGACCCTGAAGAAAAGCCCCTCTAAAGAGGAACAAACTATAAAAACTGGACAAATGCGTTAATGAAGCACTGACTTACAATTCACACGCATCTTCACTCTTGAATCGTTCATGTGGTTTCCATATTATATATTGGTCATCATCTGGGTTGCTGGTGCTACTCTTCGAAACTTTTCATCTCTATGCCCTCTGATATTCTTAAGTGTTTTCCACAGGTATGCCCACAAACACAAACAATACGAAAGCAGTCTGTCACGATTCTGGCCTTTTTAAGTCAGTGAAGTCTCAAATCGCAAGGTTGACCATCTCCATTCTTTTGGAACCACCACAAGGAAAGTGTTTTTTTCATCAATCTCTTCGCCGGGTCGTCCCCCCCAAAAAAAAACATGAAGAAAAGAGAGCTTCATGATTCTTCATCTTCCAAGTTTCCTGTTGCACCATTCTGGTTTGCTACCCTTCACAGTGCACTGAGGATGGTTGTCAAGGTCCTTGGATCAAATCTGAGGGACTGTCACGGAGCAAACATGCATCGCATGCATCGCAAATGCATCACAGATTCCCATGCGTCACATGAACCACCAGCTTCCGCAGGATAGAGCACCTGGCGAGCCATAACAGGTCCGTCCTGAACCACAAAATCAACCCCAAACTTACTGCTGCACAGGGCACTTCCAAAATTTTAGTATATTCCGAGTATATTCTGGCATTAGTTTAACAGTTTAACCATATCTACTTCAGTCCCAAGATTCTCGCAACACAAAATATGCTGCCAAGAGTCATTGTCTTGATCAATGTCAAATTTAAGGCTCCCTGCGCACAGATTTGAAGCTTTCAAACGAATGCAAACAAACAAAGATGAACCAGTTGACAAAGTTGCCGCATTGATACTCTTCGCACATTTCAACAAGCGGTTTCTCATGGTTTCTCTGGAAATTGCAAAGATGAGAGTCAACGAAAGAACTGCAAAGGTCGTACAAGTCTCTCGTTTCAGCAACGATGGAACGAGACAGACGTGCGAGCTTTGCCTGGCATGTTGTTGACACCAACACATCTGCATCCACCGTTGCCCATCACCGCAACCTGACAAGGCAAATTTGAAAGGCATCATGTGTACAATAATTGCAATATGAAACATGATGTAGAATGTAAAATGATGCGGAGGCAAGTGGAGTGAAAGATGGTACTGTAAAAGTGGAGTCAAAATCTTGAGAACACAAGTGGCCTGCGCTTCTTGCCCCCAGCTGCCTGAGAACAAACATGAAAATATGTTGGCAACTCATGGGCCTACGGCCTACGTATGCATTCCTTTTCAAAAGCATGCAAGCTGCTTGCAAGCTGTCATGCAGACCTCAAGCATGTGCTTCTGCCAAGTTGCTTCCGCAGGTGGAGTATGAGTAGAAAAGGGGCATGTGCTTGTAACCTGAGCTGGACTGCTTCCTCTACACTGTACACTGGAGCACAGCATCTGTTTGCACACCTGTGATGGTTCGAGTCATTCAAGTCTCATAAACCTGCCAAGCAACGTGCTGTGGGCATGTATGTACTCATTGTGGGAAGCACATCCAGTTTGCATTGTCGAGGATCTACATAACACCAGGGCTGCCCGCACCATTTGCCCTTCTCTGATTCTGCGCACTGAGGGTGGACCCCATCATCCCAAGTGTCGCAACTGCTCCCAAGATCTGCTGGGTACTTGACCATCTTTCCATCGATCAATGTCAATGCTTCACCTTCCAAGTTATCAAAACCGATGCATGGGCACGCTTCGGAGCCGTACCTCACGGCTGAGACATTGGAATGGGACACTGAGATGTTTGCCTCGGAGTGGTTCGAGTGATTTTTGGTGACTGTGGTCACTTTGGTCGCCGTGGCTTTGGTCGCTTTCTCCGCTGATTCGTTGCCTGACACTGCACGCTGATCGCCTTCCGCAACCTGCTTGCTTGCCTGATCTTTTACCAGTCTCGCACTGGCAACGCTGCTGCTTGGGACTGTTCTTACCTCTCTTTGATTGCCAGGAAGTGAGTGGATTGGTTCTTTTTCTTTTTCATGCTCAAGTACCTCAAAAAAGAGCAAGTGCGTGGCAGAGCAGAAGCGGACGTCGAAAAACACAAAACAAGATTCAATTGGAGTCGCGGTAGACTGAATGGAAAGAGGATCTTAAAACCAAAGCTCTAAAGAAAAGAACTATGTTGCTCTATTCAAAAGTCAAATGCGACTGCTTAAATCCAAGGTTAATGTATTCCGATCATAATTGCCAGTTTATTTCGCACTAGAAGGGATGGGAGACTGAGAGATAGGGTTGCAGTGTTTGTGCTTCGATTCAGGCGGTCTCCATATCCTACACAGTGGGGCAACGAACTGATACATTACTGCTACAGACTCTGGCAGGATAGTGGACCGAGATACTGGTAATGCCCAAGACGTAAGTACAGTAATTAGATGTTTGGAGTGGATGACAGAGTGGCTGACGCAGGTGTCGGAAAAAATAAATGTATTGTTATTGGACGTTCATCTTGTCAATATCTCAAAACAACACCAGTGTAAGAATATTCAACTGCAAGAAGTTTGATTGAATTTGATCAACAAAAAATTGCCTAAATTTGATTTCGAGGCATCATTCTAGACCGGATTCATGCGCTGTCATAATGCAAACCAAGTGCAATGCGTCTAGCATCTTGTGCTGCACTAAAAGCTTCGCTTTTGACTTTTTTCATCTCTTCCTCCCTGCAATGGCCAAACCAAAGTGGAAACATGGAAAATTATGAATATAAAAATATGTAACTTATGTAACGATACAAATTTCATCCGCAAACCCAATGCTGGGGCAACTGCTTTTTTCGGAGAATTTCCTGGCGCGAGTATTCAAAGACTATTCAGAGAAGGGAATGATTTAGCCACCTTGGCCCTTACGCTAGTTCAATGCGTGCCACACAGCGCGCCTTGGTCTGCGCAATCTCTGCTTTCAATTGTGAAATTTCCCGCTGCTTGGTAAGAACCTCACGAATGAGCATTGTGGAAATGTCATACAAGACCCAATTGCAAGTTGCAAAATTTGAAATCAAGCAGGTGTCGACACCTCATCATCTAGGATTCTATCATCCACAACCTGACGCAATCGAGAAATTGTCACTTTGGTTCATGTTTCAATGGATTTGTTGAAGCTTACGAACCATGTTTTTCAATCTTTGTGATGGGTTTGCATTGGGACATATGTCCAGCCTTTCGAACATCAGGAATTCCTTCAATGAGGTCCCTCGGTCCAACATTACATTAGCAAAATACAAAAGATTTCGACAAACCGCAAACTTGGTAAGTTGAAAAACACTCTCTGATCGCGTGATGCAGAAATAGCAGTTGCCAAGCTGAAAGCTGGTGCGTTTTGGCAGCCACCACTCCTGCCACCAACAATATCCGATTATCCAACAAATTTGGTCAAAGCATACCATCCCCCCAACTAACATAGACCCTTCCAAACAGGGGTTGGAAAGTGAGTTTCCACTAAAAATTGGTTCTTGTCAGGGTCTATGTTACTTTGGGTGAGGGTAAGAACCAACATGCATGTTGACCATGAGAAATGCTGGCCTGTCAAACAAAAAGAGGCTTGGAAACAAGCTACGACAAACTTCATTGGTACGAAAAAATGTATACCTTGAGCAAAAGCGTCAAATTCGATGAATTATATAAGAAATATTAAATAACTAAGATTCATTCAACCACATGTTGACACTGCCGAACTCCCTTCAACTGTCCACTTCGGGTGCTATTAAGATCCGGATAAAAAAAACGCTCGTGGCGGCAAACAACCACATTCAAAATTTTGAAAATTCCATCCGTGAAAATTCAAAAAAACATAATGTCACGCACGGACAAAGACTGTGACGAACGGCACCATTCTTAAAAATGGCACTTTGAAATGGTACCATGCTTTCGTATACGGCATTGCTGAAAGCAACAATACGTCACCGTGCCTATGTAATGTCAGCAACAAAATAACTACTGTTCAATTGAAAAAATACATATCATGCAAGTCCCACCTCAATCCCAACACAACATATGTCCGCCAAATTAACCGCACAATTCCAAATAGAAATGTTCTAAGCTAACCACACTTAAAGTCACAATTGCTCACTCAATCAATCGAATGACCATTCAATCCGGAAAATGCACATAAACAAAAAACATTCAAATATGCAACCACGACAAAAATGTTTACAACCTCAAAAATGTTTACAACCTCAATTTGATTTTTCTTGTGTCTAAAATGAATTGATAGCTACAAAATCACACAGCAAAAACAACACAACACAACAATTTTTGCAACGGCCAAAAAATGAACATGGATCAAACCATTGAACGCTGGTTTTTCAAGAACGAAGTTTGCGTTTGAACAACATGTTGTTTCCGTTTTTTCTGTCAATGGACAACCTTCATTTTGAACGTTCTATTCAGCCTGCATTTTGCATTGCTGTTCGGTCTTGACTTGGTCCGGCCATCGCCAATTGGTTCGGTTGGTGTTTTCTGTTTTTTATTTAATGTTGTTGGTTTTGGTTTCCCAATTTTTAAGGCACGGATGCATGTTGAGTCAAAAAACCAAAACCGCACAATGCAAAATACACAAAGTTCATGTTGCAATATTTTTCTCAAAGTTTATACTACATGCTAAGATCTGTGGAGACAAACGTCAGCACAGACAGCTCGTCAAGCATGGCCAGATCTGCGCAAGGATGACAGCACAAATCAATTCACATTTGCCGACGATCCCAGGCTCAAGTTTGCGTGGTAGGCCCACGAAGCTCCAGTAACCTTTGGGGTAATCCAACAAAAGTCTAACTTTTTAATAAGTGGGATTGGGCCCTGGAAAGACCTCTCAGGGTGCGGTGGTTGAGGCCGCGCACATGTTAAATGTCCAGCCTTTGATAAAGGCTCTGCAAAGACTGGTCGATGGCCAGTAACAGGCTGGGTTCTCGAGGCTGCTTCTTTTCCTTGAATCAGAAGTGCCTTCAGATGTGAACAGACACTACACTGAGCAACTATTCTTCAGGCTCACTGCATTCGCACATCTCACTGTTGAGATAACGAAGTCTGCGTTGGCTCTCAGTTTCCATCATCTCATCACTGTCTGATTGGTTTTCTTCCTCTGGATTTTCCATTTGAATCGGAGGATGTTTATCAATTGGTTTGCAACTGCATTGACATGTCTGCTTTCAGATGGGTGGTCGCTGCTCGAACCTGCATGCACTGTCTCTGCAATCCTTGACCCATGTCGAAAACTCTTTCTGCAGCATCCATCTCATTGGAAACCTGAATCAAAGACATCTGATGCAATGGAGAGTCTTCATCCTCTGACAAATCCTGCGTACTGCGCGTCATGATCGACGCTGAGTGGAGCGTCTCTGCGTTGCCACTCCTACATGCTTGCATGACTTCACATAAGATTTTTTTTCCCTCTGTTGCGGCCGATTTCGCTCTGAGACTCGGTCCCAACAATGAGAGAAGCGGGTAAACAAATTGCAGACATATGAAACACCTTAGTTCCACAATTTCAAGGCAAATCAAAAACCAAACAAAAACCGGGCAAAACAGCGACGACACGCAAATCTCCCCGCCAGATTTGCGTTTCGCCAGCAGGAAAAACAGCAAAACAACACAAAAAAGGGCCGGAGCCACAACCAAAAATACCCAAAAACAATAGAATTTGCCTGGACACGGAGGGAAAACCCAACGTGTCATGAAAAATGCACCAAAAAACAAGTTAGCTTGTCTACGGCCCAGAAAAGGGTGAAAAGCTGTGCAACTGTGAAAAGCAGCAAACTTGCGAAGTTCTGTTGTCAAGCTGCACACTACGGCAGCAATCTCAGAGTCCTCTCAGACGTGCTTTTTCAATCTTCCAGGGAGTTCTTGCAGTCGCCAAAAACGTTTGAGTGTACATTCCGCAGAAGGCTGTAAGAATCCACAGACAAGTCATAGCTCTGTCGTCAGACCCATGTGGTTCAGTGAGTTGCTTGCAGCAGTGCCGTCCAAAGAGGGAACAGCACTGCGGGCCCAGACAAATCTTCCGGCAGGGGCAAGCTGCCGGTCAAGACGGCCACGCTATGGCCCACCAACTACAGTCTTCTATGCGGAAGGCTACAGGCCTTCGAAACCTCTACTTGGGTCAGCGTCCAGGACGTCGTCCTTAACAAACTAAGACCGTCCACGCAACCAAGTCAACCACTCCCAGAGCTCAGCCACTTTTACCACAACACACAAGAGAAACATATCTTGCTCATGTCGCTATGGTTCTTGTTGGTGTGTCACGCCTTGACACAAAATGATGCGGAGTCGCCAGTTAGCATCTTTCTGCCAACTTCACAAAAGCGATCAAAAACACATGTCCTCACAAAAAGTCTTTACATCAAGACATGGTTTGTTTGTTTAAATAAGTTTGAGTTTGAGTGTTTGAAAACTGTTGAAACATTTCAAGCACCAAAACATGATTCATGATGTCTCCCTCAGATCTGTTGGCAACTCTAGTTCTGAATGCCTTTCAGAACGTTGCTCTCTCTATCATCATTGAGAGACAAACAAACTAAACTTCTCCGATCAATGTCAAACAAAGTTCCTTCTTCCGAAGTCACAAAATGAATTCTACGATCTTCTCACGATTCCTTCGTGCACTTCTGCAATCATTCTGCCGGCAAAACTAAAGCAAAACATATGGAAAATGGTTTGATTTTCCATGTCACTATACACATTCAAGTCCTCACGATGTTCTCCGTGCAATCAAAGTACTCAAAGAAGACGAAAAGTATATTGTTGTAGGGTTTCGTCATCTCCAATAAAACGTGCAGAACATGAAACATGCAAATACAATGTCAACCATCACGGATGAGCTCACCATCAAGGTGAAAAACAAATTCATTCCCTTCCAATGCAGAAAATACCAAATGGATTCATCTCACCACAGATGTCAAATTTTCACACCCCCTTTTGAGATGAACTCCATTCCATGTATAGCTGTAACCCATCCAGACTTCAGCACATATCGCCCAAGTTCGATAGGTCAATACATATAGGTGCCCTTAGCCGAAGGGCTACATAGTGACCACTCATCCAGTTCACAAACCTGCAAACTACAGTTGTCCACATAGAATGAGATCCTGTATAGATCCAACCACCATCACAGTGTCATCAATCACAAAACTCTCGACGCAAGGTAGTTCCTGCATAGAATGGCACATTAGCCGCTTTGCAGTCCACCAAATCTCGGGCCTTAATGTACCTGGACCAATCCCAGGCAGGACCCTTCGCTGAGTCTTTGGTCAAATGTTTTCGACACCATGAAACATAGCTGGGGTCTTCCTCGAAGACAGTCTTGTAACTCTTCTTTTCTTTCTCATACTTTCCAAATGCAAACTTGGTCTTTCCCCACATAGCCATATTTGTAACACCAGCTGGAAGCAAGGCCTTTGTGGCCAAATCCTCGGTGCCTCCCACGGGCTCCATGAAACTACTTCCAACCACCCAATCTGGCTCTGTGTCGACCTCAAACTCTGCATCTTCAATTCTACGCTTTGATGCATCGGTCATTGCACCACTAGATTCAGTTGTCGGCAAAGGCATCTGAGAAGTACGACGCTGTGCCAACTGTTGAAACATCTGCTCATCCTCAATGCTCCAATTGGATGACGCCATGGCTGCAAAATCAAACCGCGTCCGGTAGTGAAAAAGCACTAGACCGTGGCCAAACTCTTAGGAGCAATCAACCTAGAACGTGAAACGAAGTGTCGAACCGCCATCACTCTCGTGATAGGATCAGTGACCTTTCAGATTGTTCTGCGCTGCGCACACCGCATCTTACAGCATCGCGCAGCAAAACTCTGCACAAAATGCAACACAGTGAAAACTCCTGTTTGTCTTTGGCAACGTTTGTTTAAAACAACATGCAAAACAGAAAGATGAAACGTGAAGTCAACTTCTGTCTCTTTCTCACAATCACAGGGCCCCCTTTTAAACGCAAATTCAACTCTTCTTCGAAGCATGTTTGACCGCAATCAAAATGTATCTTGCCAACTTTCGGTTGTAAAACGCTGTTTCAGTATAGTTGATTTGATAGAGTTCTGCATGAGTCTGGCATGTACATGTAGAAAGTTTGGAGTGGAGATTTAATGCAAACCAAGCTGAATTGGAAACAAACTTCAATGTCTTTCCAATCGGAATACCATCCTTGTTCTGACATCCAGTCTTGCACAACCTCACCAAAGCCTCATGCCTCATGTCAAAACTCTCCAAAAGATTCACTGTCTCAGGTCGGGACCAAATGGTATTTCGTTCTGGAAGCTCAAACGAACATGAGTCTGCATGTTTGAAGTAACCACCAATCGCGTTGATGATCTCATCCCATTCCTGGTCCTTTTCAGTGACTGAGTCCGGATTGAAATTGCGAAGCGGACTTCCACTTCCACAAGGAGTCGATGCATGAATATGCACCCAAGGCGGACTTGAAGAGTTCTTCCACTGTCGGATGCAAACAGCTACACGACTCAATGTTCCAGAACTCTGCACCTTAGCAACTACACCCATGTATGGGACCTTTGAAACTTCACAAACCTTTCTCAGGTTCGAATGTTCCGAACAACACAG